TCAAATCAATGATTGAGTGTGGAGGAATCCATGAAACGTTACCTAATAACAGTTTCCATTTTTAGACCAGCACTGAGTGAACGAAGTAAGCAAAAATTAATAATCTCACAAACTGCCATCTCGCAGAAGAAAAAGGAGGCATTTGATGTAAAAGCTGCCATGTAGGACACATTTACTCACTGCCAGAGATGAACGATGCCCAAAAAGCTTCAGAGAGGGTTTACATTTCAAACACTCCCTGCTGCTTGAAAAAAAAAGAAAAAGGTAAAAAGACCCTGACTTCCTGAGCAGGGCTAAATGGAGCATGTGAGTGTCAATGGGAACGAGTGAATAAGATGAAAGTGAAGAAAGGGACTCATTGAGATTGACTAGCCCTGCTGTTTGATCTGAGTGGCTGGCTGGCCTTGGCTGCAGGTATTAAGATTCAGCCGATGCATGCGCGTGTTTAACAAGACCGGGTTTATGTGTCAGCCACTGTGGCAGCGTTATGGGAAAAGAATGCGATGGGGCAAAAACGGTGACTGCAGAGTAGCAGTGCTACGGCTAACAGAGCGGCTCCAGTCAGAACTGCTAAATGAAATCACTGTAAACCACTCTGTTTTCTCATTTCTCTTCACTAGCTGTTTATCTGAGCACTGAGACATGCTGCCCCCCTCCTTCTCTTTTTAATCACAGATTTCATCAAAACCGCATTACGCAAAACCTCTGCCAGTGTTTTGTTTATCCAGAGTGCTGGCTTTGGAACATTAGACTGCTGGGTAATGTGACCTCGTGAAGATGACTGAAAATACACGTTGAAAAAAAGCAATGTGGGTCAGCACGAGCCACCTTTATTCCCCTAACAGCACACTAATATAGAGCTGCTCTCTAACCCTCGCAGCTCTCTCTGCTAACCCCCCACCCACACCATCCTCCCTCTAAGAGCTTTAGAGCTTTCTCTCTGCCCCTAGATTGCAGTATTCAGCCAGGAATCAAACCCTTACTATTCCCTATTCTTCCATTACATACACAGCGCTGTGCAAAAGCCACGGAGCACCCTTCATTTATTTCATTTCCAGTCAAAATGGATATTAAGTACAAATTATTTACTTTTCAAGAGACATTTCTGAGGAAATTAGATATATGATAATACACCTATTTCACAAAAGGAAGCAGAATGTCAAGAGAAATAAATGAAACAACAGGAGTTTCCAAAACTAGACATCAAAAAATTCTTAAAGGATACAGAGGAAATGAGACTCTTAAGAAGCATGCAATACTTGATACATAACCAAAACTGTCACCACCAGAAAAACAGTACTTAAAGCTTTCATCTTAAGAGACAGGAGAAAATCAAGCTGCACTCTTTTGTCGTTTCAGATCTAAAAAATCCACAGGTGTCCTTCCACTGTGAGAAGACAAAGCTATTGGTTCGAAAGGATGTGCAGCTGTCAGGAAGAAATAAAAAAAGACAAAAAAGAAGAAAATGGGCCACTCAAACAAAGAAGCTGCTGGTGCTCTCAGAACAATGGACTGACCACCCCAGGGTCCAGACCTCAACATCACTCATTGTGTTTAGGATTACTTGAATACTTGTGTGTGTATATACACACACACACACACACACACACACACTACACATACATATATATATATATATATATATATATATATATATCGCTGCTGTCAGAACAAAACCTCGCATCTCCAAAATGGTAACTTTACAGGAGAAGGAAAAAACATACTTTACTTTCAATGTAAGTCAATGGAACCAAACTTTTTACCAAGTCATTTGGGGCCTTTTCTTTTGGTCCATTAATCATGAAATTCACACACTGTGTAAAAGGCAACAGACATTTTCAAATTATGCCAAAAACTGAAAAATGACAAAAATGTGTGTGTATATATATATATATATATATATATATATATATATATATATATATATATATATATATATATATACACATTTTGCACAAGAAGCAGAAAAATCATGTGCTATATTTATAAGTGGGTCTCTGTGCTCCATTCCACTGATTGCATGGATAGAAACAAGCAGAATACATGACAAATCTCAGCAGACAGACACACTGTACTCACACCGTTGAAGATACCTAGCCAAACATATCTTACTTTCACAATGCAGTACTACCTCTGAATTTTTTATTTGTTTGTCTGCCATGCAGTATTTGCCCTGGAGAAAGAGGACAATGGATAGTAGCAGGGTATAACGGAAGAGAAAATCTAACATGGTCCCACAGAAGGTACAGTATGCGTACACACTACCACACACAGTGCCACACACTGTTCAGGAACGAAGAGATACAGATCAGCTCCAAATGCCATCCTCCTTTAGAAATGTAACTCCTTATCTGCAATTCTGGAATCAATAGAGGGAGCAGTAAACACAGAGTCCAGCTTCACTGGATTAAGAAGAAAACAGAAAAAAAGAGAGACAGCACGATACCACTTGTTCTTTACCAATATTGATACCGATACTGAAACCTTGGATTTTGACTGATACTGATAGCAATTTGACACTTCATAATGAGCTATTTTTAACTGAAGCCAGTTAAGACAACAAACACTATCCTACCTGGCCTGCAAAAGTCTTTCAATTAAGTAAACACGGGATTGTGAAAGTCACAATATAAATGTAACACATTATTATTATTAATTTTCTATTAATATTAGCCTGTTTCACAATGCACTGCACTACAATCTCCAGCATGCACTTCAACGTAATGCACGCTTCTATCCCCTCCCACAACAACAATTTATAGGACAGCAGTTACACCTCAATTCTTCCACACCACTCATATCATGAAACACACTAGCTGCACTTCAGCTGCAGTTCAACCAATATAAACACTTAGCTCAGCTGCACAGAAATTGATCCCAAGACTGAATGAACTTATAGCAAAGAAAAGATGCCAGGTGTCTAGATCAAGCACATAGGTGGGTTTAAAAGACCTACCTCCTGGGGACATTTAAAAAGGAAGGTCATATACATATGGATATAATTTTATTTAATTATTAAGGCATGTATGTATGTATGACGTGGGTGGGGTAGTGGGTAGCACTGCCGCCTCACAGCAAAAAAGGTCTGGGTTTGATTTCCCAGTCTGGTGACCAGGATCCTTTCTGTGTGAAGTTTGCATGTTCTCCCTGTGTCTGAGTGGGTTTCCTCTCACAGTCCAAAGACATGCAGTCAGGCCAATTGGACATGCTAAATTAGACTCCAGCACCCCTCGCGGAAAAGTGGCTTAGATTGTGTGTGTGTTTATTTGAATAATTCAAGTATTCATGTAATATTTCATGGTTTATTACAAGTGCCTATATTTTGCTGTTGATATTTTGACATATTTTGAATAAACAATAGCCAGTTCAGTTATAGCAAAATGTTTTTTAAAAACAAAACAAAAAACACTAGGCGTTCTCTGGCCTATGGATTTGTTAAGATTTTTTAATATGGTCCTTTTAGTGGTTGAGTTTGACACCCCTGATCTAGAAGCACCAGGCTTAAACTGATCAAACACTCTTCAATCCTACAAAGAACAAATTCTGTAGCCTACATGACTTATACAACCAGTTTTTTTTTTATTTACTTCATGTCAAGCATAGAAATGTCAAGTTAAGTGGTCTTTATAGTCACTCCTCAGCATATCTTGTATACATTGTATCAGTATGTGGAACTGTAACCTCCTATGTGTCAAAGTATTTTCTATCAATTTATAAAAGAAGCAGGATGCTGCCTTTTATTGTTGGATGCATAGTGATATTTTCAGAGCGAATGTGCAAGTACATTTAGAACAGAAGTCAAATAAATAACAGTTTATTATTGATTTGTTTCAACAGTAACAATGAAAGGTGACTGAATTGTACAGTATGTTGCTGTTCATGTTTTTTTCTTGCTCATAATAGTAGTTTGGGGAACAAAGTATAAATCTGCACATTTTTGGCGTTGTTAGATCATATTCTTTACAAATAAATGCAATGACAGCATTGAGAAATCATGTTATTGAAGGAGAAAAATCCAAAAAGATCTCCTTAATCTCAAAGGAGAGTTCTGCTCCTTCTGCTCAGGTATTTTTCCTGAGCAAAAGACCTCAATAATCTCACGTCTCCTCTTGAGTTTTAGTAGATATCTCAATAATGTCACATATTTTGCTCAAATTTGTGAAGACAATATTGCCCATATTTATTGGCAACTGAACTCTCATCTCTCCTTTATCTCTCCTTCATCGCATGTCTCCTTTTTGTCTAATGCTATTTCAGAGGGAATCAGAATTCCATCAATTTTTCAACATTTCTGTATGATGCAATGGTTGAAATGTAAATGAGGTCATTCAGAGTGGTTTGATGTGAAACGGTTCACTTTTTTTTCCAGTGGTGGTGATAAGAACCAGGGTTCACAGTGTTTACAACAAAAATATAGACATTTTATTTACTGTCCAAATCCACCAGTGAACCTACACGCCTTCTGATTTTTATATGTAATGTTCATGATGGTAAAACAGTCATAAATCTGAAACAATTATGTTTTCTTGGTGAACTATTTTGCTTTGTGAACTACCCTGCACGTACTGCTCCACAGTAAAAGAATTAAAATGCTTTATAGGCCAAAATCTCCTCTCAAAACTATCATAAAACAATGTCTCAGACATCAAGCAGTGTATTTGTAACTATTTCCTGTAATAACATTCCTTGAGGGAGCTTTTAGAGGCTTTAAACTCCTCAGACGTATGGTTCCTATTAACACCACTGTGAACAATTTTGACTTTAAAATAAAGCATTTCACATCAAACCACTCTGAATGACTTTGTTTAAATCGATTTTACATTTGACTTTTTTTTTAATGAAAAATTCCCCTTTAAGTCTCCTGAGCCATCAAAGCGCAACATTTGAGCAATACAACTTTCTGAGAATAGCCACTTTTTTGTGTTGGCCTTAAGATTTATGTGGAAAAAGATAGAAACAATAAAGTCTGGTGCCAGCTTATCACAGTTTTGCCCACTCACGTGTCTGGTGTAGAAGTCGTCCACCTCTCTCTGCACTTTCTCCTGGCAGTCAGGGTGAATGGCCAGCAGGTAGCAGACAAATGCTAGAGTATTACTGCTGGTCTCATAGCCGGCCAGAAGGAAGAGGAAGGCCTGGCCCACAATCTCATCCTCTGTCATCACCCTCTTCAGCTGGGGGCGCCTCAGAGACTCCACAGACTGATGTCCAGGGCCATTAGCCGCCTCTTCAGCTGCCTGAGACCATGCATCGGCCTGCTCATCTGCATGGTTGACCACATCAAAGTGCTCTAGAGACACACACTCCTTACTGCTCCTCACGTCCAGCATCAGCTGCAGGAAGTCTCGTCGGCGCTGTGCAAACCCAGAGATCAAAGGTCAAGATGGGATAGGTTTAGTTGGAATATGCATGGCCAAGGACAATTTTTCCATTTGTTCAAGGTTGCATTCTACCTGATTGGGTGGCAGCTCATCTCTCTGTTTTATGATCTTCTGAATGCAGCTGACAAAAAAGCTGTTCATCTCATCACGGGATTTATTGGGTATCAGGGCGCTGAGGGGTCCGATCAGAGCTGGGAAGGCCACTGAGAACAAAAATTGACAACCATGAGGCTTTTTCCCCCCAGTATTCTTAAGTCATAAACACAAGGACAAAGGCATTTTTAAATGAGGGCTCTTTCTCCAGTCCCTTACAGTAAATGTGCTACGTCTTTATACTGCCTTCATTAAAGTTCATTTCACATTATCATTTATTGGAGCTCCCCATGAGATGTGATCTCCCCAGTAATACAATTAAAATGGAAATAACTCATTTCTAGATGGGCACTGAAGCTTTGGTTCAGATGTGTGGTTAATGTGGCAGCGTGACGTACGGAACATGAACATGATGGGTCTAAAAAAGGTGAAAGAGAAGAACTTGGAGGCATGGCGGACAAATGGGTCATCAGGGTCATTCTGAGAGTCCACTTGTGTGCCGAATGCCACACTCGCAATCACGTCCATAGTGAAGCAACCAAAACACCTGCAAGAAAATATGAACAACAGCCACCACTACTATTTACAGTAACAGTCAGATGTTAGAACACACCTACTTATTGAAGGGCTTTCCCTTATTTTTAATATTTCCACATTTTAGAAGAACACTGAAGATATTAAAACTAACTAACACATATAAAATGATGTGTCCAAAAAGTATTTTAAAAAAATCAAAGCTATCTTTTAGACTCTTCAAACAAGTGCCCGTTTGTCTCTATGCAGCTTTACACACTCTTGGCACTCTCTCAAGCAGGTTTGTAAGGAGCCACCTGGGATGCTTTACCAACAGGCCTGAAAAAGTTCTACATATGCTGAACACTTGTTACCTCTTGAAAACTACCAATTTAACCCTTTTTCACAGTAGCCATTAAATGCTACTGTTTTGGAGGAGGCCAATCAGTTAAACTATGTTTTTTTCCTTATGTTTCCTTAAGTTATGAGGGAAAAATATTTGATACACATTGAGTTCGAAATGTCTTTGAAAGAAACCTACATTCAGTCAGGGTTCAGATATTTGACTGTGGTAGAAGTGGTTGAAATAAAAGTTCACAGGCAATTTTTAAGCACACATGATTTTACAAACACACACACACACAAACACAGCCATACCTGTGAATGTCAAAGCTTTCTCCAGACTCTGCATACGCCTGCAGGTTATTTAGTAATGTTTCTGTGGCCGTATTGATTAGAGGAACCATCTGTGGGGAAAAAACATGCAGACATCGGTATTCAAAAATAGCAAGTATTTAACATTAAAATTAACCCATTTAATCCTACCGGTCACAATTGTAACTGAAATTTACTATAAATAAACAAACTATAAATAAAATTACACATTGTTTTGATCTCATATGAACATTTGTATACATGCCTTAGGTTGTAATATGCCTGTTATTTTGAGGGGTTAAAGCAAAAATGATTATATCTAAAATTAAGCTTTTTCCTCTAAAAAACATAATAAACAACCAGTAACTGAAACATAACAACACAAGTGAACTGAAGATGAAAAGTGTGGGTGGCATGAGAACTGCATTGATTGAATCAATCCCTTAACTTGCTAGAAGAGCGTGGGTGATGCCACTATAAAGTGATGAATTAATTAAAATCCTGTCTAACTCTGCTTGATTTCAGAGGTCATTAGCAAGGGGAGAAAACTTGATGGATCAAAGCCATGGTAATTAAATCATTAACTAATTGTCTTTTATAGTTCTGAAGAAAACATATATGTTCTATGCAGCTGACTTTAAAAGCCTGTGTGTGCAGCAAGCTCGGAACCAGTGTAGGGAAGGTGGGGCTTGTGATGACACAGCGGGCTTGAGTCAGGTCACGCTACTGTGGACACGAGATCCGGCAAGCTTTTAAACCCCATTCCTCCTCCTCCTGCTTTCTCTCTCTCTCTCTCTCTCTCTCTCTCTCTCTCTCTCTCTCTCTCTCTCCCACAGCTGCGGCACTGAAGCTTTCCCCTCAGACGCCCATGACTGCGGCTGTGATAAGCCTCCATCTCATACCAGACCTGCCTATTGATCCTGCCTGCTCAGGAAGAGAGAGATGAGGGCGCAAGCAAAGAAAAAAAAAAGTGGAGAAAGGGAGGAAAAGGACAGAGTGGTCCTAAAAAAAGGGAAGGAGAGAGCACAAGATGTTCTGTCTAAGCCTCACAGACTTTTGTGGGGCACTGAAGCACGACAGACCGACAAATCCAAAATGGACGCAGCACAGCCAGACTGACCTTCACCCACACTCCACTGCTGCACAGGGACCGGACATACTAATATCCTGACCTTCACCTGCTACCTTCTCCCACTGACCCTCACTTTGCCTTCCTGCTAGAAAGCTACATTAGGAATCGATGATTGATGTCACTGATATCGTCTTTAACAGTCTCTCATTTTTATCTAACATCACATGTTTAATGTCCATAGTGGTCTAACAGCCTACTTGTCAAGTGTTTAACTGATAGTATGAACAAGTTATAGGGCAAAATAATACCTTTCCATTGTGGCTGGCATAATGCTGCTGCTTTTATTTCAGCACTATCACTATGTTAAGGCTAGTTAAACAAAGGCTAGTTACACTAAAGCTACCCAAACAGCAAGAAGATAGTGGGCCACTGTTTGCCAGCTCATGGCAAAACTGATGGCCCGCTGACTTCTTGCTCAGCATTTTCCAGGCAGCCCACCGGTGGTTGAGCAGAGTATTAGACAAAATGTCTCTTTTGATCGCATATTTTCCCAAACAGTCCAATTTTCTTCATTTCTTTCTTTTGTTACCCTTTGTAAATTAGTTCAGTCATAAACATAATTTTTTTTGTCAATTTTTTTAAATAATTGTCTTATTATTGTTATTTTACTTGTTTATTTTCCTAAATAAAAGGCTATGTGCCTTTAAAATCTGTTTCATTAAATTAGTTAGACCTTGTGTGCAAGACAATAATCTGGGTGGTCTAAAGGTGGACCAGCAGCGGTATGCTTGCTCTCTGGGAAATTAAACAAAGTCTAGTTAGATTAAGTAATGGCTAGTAAATAAAAGGCTAGTTAGACTAACTTTAGGCTAATACACTAAGGCTAGTTATACTAACTGAAGGCTAGTTATTCTAAGGCTAATTAGACTAACTTAGCAACTGTTTTCTAGCTAAAGACACAATACCATCCATAAAGGGTTGTGTTATCTTGTCATGGCAAAGTTTTGCATGTCATAATTATTTTTTTGTAAATGTTCACTTACGTTTCGTCATTTTTATATATTAAAAAGTAAATTTTTAAAACACATTTTTTTTTTACCAGATTCCACATGGTATGGTGAGCTTATGTGCATGCCTCTACTGAAATGACTGAATACTGAATGGCTTTTCATTAATTTTGTAATATAATATGCCTTTTTTTATACTTTATTAATGTAATATGCCTTATTAATATAACTTCTTTTTTACTTTAGCTCCTGTTTTTTTATTGTGTCATGACTTTTTTGAGGAATTATTTATTTATTATTTAGCTTATTTTACTTTCGATTTTTTTTCCCTGAGTAACAATTCCATGTTTTCAACATTTTATCTTTTATGCTTATTTCTAATTTAGAACTTTTATTACATTTTTATTTTTTCCTTTCAAAGCTTTTTCTTATTTTCTTTTTCATCTCTAATGCTGGTTTTTGTTTGCCGTCCCTCCTAGTAAAGCACTTTGAGCTGCATTTTAATTTATGCAAGATTATATTATTAATACGAGTCACATAGTTAGATAGTTTTATTTTTGTGCAATTATCAGTTTTAAGGCCCAGTCACATTAGTGTTTGACAGTGAAATTTTGTCATTTCAGTGGAATTCGCAGAGATGAGCGATTATGGGCAGATGAATTTTGCATGCAAAATTTCAAATTGAGTTCACCATCAGGAAACTTTGAATTTGATCATTTAAAGCAAATTTGCGTCCTCGAGCAACAGCACTACTGCTTTGGCTGTGCTGACCTCTGAAGGGGCGGTCGTTCATAAAGCAGTGCTGACCCTCCAAGAACGAAGAAACACTAATTTAACCGATGTCTTCACTCAAACCTTTTTTATTCCCCTCTGGCTACAAATAAATACACTTTAACAAAATTGCATGATATGCAGTCAGTCAGGAGACTGCATTGTTATCTTTCCTTTTGAGATAATGTTTGTGGTAAACAAGATAGCCAGCTTGCTGTCTGTAATGTTAGCTTCCTGGCTAACCACAAGCTGCACACAATCTACACATTTTTTTGCTACAGACTTATGTTCCCTTTCGTGTTTTTACTGCTTATGACAGGCAGGTTAGCCAGCTTGCTAACTGCAAAGTCACCCCACTGTCTTCAACCATGCCAGCTATCTACATTTTTTGCTACAGATCAGTGTGCAGCACTATACTCTTGTGAATATATAACTTTGTTCACTCTTGTGTCATTATCGTTCCTGGTTAACGGGTTAGCTAGCATGCTACCTGAACCAACTTTGCAGATTTTTTCATTACCAATCTTCTGGTCCAGCTTTGGTCATGCCCATTTCGCAAGGTGACAGGAATTACGAACATATAGTATAACTGCAGATTTGGGAGTAAGCTAGTAGATGGATCATTGTACAGAACTGGTTCAAAGTCAGAGCTGAAAACATCTAGGCTTTTAACTGACTTAGACTGTAGACCAAAATCCTTTTGCTTTGAGTGACCCTATTCTTTAATTATGTTTATTTCATTAAAACAAATGGTCAAACAGTCCATTTCATCACTACCAAAACTAAATAACACTGTCAAAACTTTACCAAATGTTTCAGTAGTGACAAATTTTAGCTAACCCAAAAAAACGCTATCCACTACATGACTAGCAAACACAGCTTTGAACAGCTGTGCACACATAAAACCACAATATTCACTAAAACACAAAAAAGTTTACTTAATTGCAGAAAATGTGTTTTGCTAATGACAATTCTTGCTCACCATGTCATTTAAAAAAATTAAAACAACATTTATTAAAAAATGTCTGAATACTTCATTGTTTTTTAAACAGTTTTTATGGAGGGACTGCACTTTGCGTTCATTTGGTAAAATGCTCCATATATGCAGCAGGTTGAGTAGGTCTGTGATGAAAGAATCAATGGTAAAGAAACATTTTCCCTGTATTTTGCAGCAGGTCACTTTTACGTTACAAGGTGAGTGTGTGCATGTTCGTGTGGTGTGGTGGAGTGTGTGTGTGTGTGTGTGTATGTAACAGAGTGTGTGTGTGGGTGTGTATCAGAGCAAATCGGCGCTGGGCTGAGAGGCAGATGAAGAAGACTAGAGAGGCTGATGGAGGATGACAGGAGCAGTGTCCTCTGTCTCTTCCTGCAGTTCCACCACAACTAATGAAAATCAATACAGTGGCAAGACACACACACACACACACACACACACACACACACACATGCATGTTTGAATACACTAAAGTCATCTGGGTTGAACATTAGGAATGCAGCCATGTATCTGGCATAAAAATAGCACAGCTCTTTCCATGTGTGCAAGTTATACTCTTGAAAATAAAGGTTCTTAACAAGTTCTTGGCTTGGATTCAAGGTTCTACAAAAACAATGTAACTCTTTTAAGCTACACTATGTATATTTAGGGGATTTGGAGACCACTCTGGTGAAAATGTGGAAATGCATGTACTGTGCAGAACAACATTATGTATCGGCAGTTATGTTCGAACCCCTTCCTCGCGCGGAGATGAATTGTTAATTGTGAGTATGTTTAAAGATATCCAAAAATAACTTAAAACTTTGTGAAAGACACATCTTCTGAGGATGTAAGTGAATAATCTACTATTATTATCATACTTTCATCAGTATAATGCTGATTTTGCATTTGAGGCCTTAACATCAAGCAGGACCATCTCTCTAAGCCTGTGTTTGTGACATTCATGCGTAAAGACCTCTGATGTGGTCTGAAAAACTCCCACAAAATCTGATCTGATACCTCAGACTTTTAAATGATTATTTTAGACTTGACCTGCAGCAGTGCACCGTATTTTAGCATGTTTTTTTCCTCCTGACTCAGTAATGCTACTTCTTTCAATTTTATCAAAAGAATCTTATAGAATATCTATAAGGCAGGTGCCAAAATGTGACTATTTCTGCTGTTTAATCTGCTCTTCTCCATACACCACATTATTTAGATCTTAGTGTTGTTGTTGCATTTATTTGATATGTAAAGAATGTGACCTAACAAAGCCAAACATTTGTTGATTTTTATTTCATTTACATCCCAAGCTAAATTTTTGTAGAAGAAAACACAAGAATAGGAATATAAGTCACACATCGGTTGTTATATTACTTTGATTAAACAAAACAATAATATGTGCTTAATGATGCTTGCTTGCATCCAACAATAAAGGAAACCGCATCTTTTATACAGTGACACGATATATAGAAAGTGCCGAATCTTCATGCGGATCCTCAAATTCCCAGAATGGATCACCGGCAAAACACTCAGTTCGACAGGCTAAACTGACAGAGGACCATCCGTTATATGGAGCATCTTTCACATTTAAAAAGATTCTTCTCACCTGCACAAACAATGCTTGAAAGAACCATTCATTGAAAGGTTCCTTAGGGAACCAAACATCGTTCGTTTCTGACATTGCATTTTTGGGACCTTTATTTTTAAGATTGTAGACTTCAAAGGGGGTTTCTAAGTGTTCCTGATAATCTCTGGAGTCCTGCCTTCAACTGTGCATTCATGAAAATCCTTTTTACCTGATAAATTTCATTCCAGTCTGAAGAACAATGCAATCACAAAAGGTGATCTACATTGGAGAAGTGCTTAAAATGCAGAAGTCATAGGTTTGAATTTGTTCAGGGTACATAAAAAAATACGACTGAAAGTCAGACACTCACAGGTTCTAATATCTCAGCCTTTCCACTGGATTTTATCATTATAAAACAGTGTCATGCCTGTTTCCATTCCTAGCTGCATTGTGAGGTTAGTTCTGAAAGTGAAACACAGAAGGAGAAAAGAATAATACTCAGTGTGCTGTAATTAAGTTAACAAACATGCCTCAAGTGCCAGAGCTCAAAAGCAGGGGTTGGTGTTGACAGTAAAGATGTTTATGAGCTCATAAAATATTTATAACAGTGTCACCATGTAGCCAGTATTTCACTCTCCCATGCTATACTAGAGCCGGGGCTGAGTGCAATGATGCTTGTGGTTTTCTCTTGCTCGATGTCACCAAATGCTGAATTTAGTATAACGTGATGTCATTCTCTTACCATGGATAATGAGTCAGTGTGTGTGTGTGTGTGTGTGTGTGTGTGTGTGTGATTGTGAGGAAAAAAGATAGAGACTGAAATCGCTCTTATGCATATGCTCATCTACACACCCAAAGCTGGAGAGGCTAATCTGAGTAGTTCGGCAGGGGACAATACAGGATCTTGGCTAGATTAAAACACTCAGTGTTCATTAGATTCTCTGGTAAGGCTCCTCACGCAAGCTGGTAGGGAGTGGAGCTGAGAGTTAATGCTCTGCTGTGAGGGCATGATGAGAATATGATAGAGTGTAGCTACCAGCTCTTACCCAATTAACTTCCACTTATCAGACCTTATGCAAGTGTGTTAGTCACCAGCGGCGCTGCCTTTTCACTGATTTTACAGAAACCAACAAAAAAACTCACTGGCTGTCTTACTAATTGACTGACTGCCCAACCAACTGACCAACTCACTGACTGACCAACCAACCAACCGACCAACTCAATGATTGACCAACTAACCAACTGACTAACTCAGTGATTAACTGACCAACAACTCACTGACTGACTAACCAACTGACCAACTCACTGACTGACTGACCGACTCACTGACTGACCAACACACTGACTGACTAACCTACCAATTGAGCAACTCACTGACTGACCGACCCACCAACTCACTGACTGATCGACCGACTGACCAACTGACTGACTGATCTGATTGACTGACCAACCGACTCAATGACTGACTAACACACTGACTGACTGACCAACTAACTGTCTGACTAACTGACCAACTCACTGACTTATTCACCAACTGACTGACTGGCTGACTGGCTAACTGCCTCACTGACTGACAGATTGACCGACTAAGACCAATATGTGTATCTGTGGGCGATGCCCAACAATGAACTCAAAAGTAAAAAATGCACCAGTTTTAGTGAAAGAACAAATTTTCCACTGTACTCTCTGAGGCATAATGTTATTGGCCATAAACAATTCAAATTAACAGTAAAATACAATTGAAATAAAAAAAGCACTTAGGATATGGACAATTACTGTAATGAACATACAGCACACCAAAGACAACAGACTGCCTGAGCTATTTTAACTCTTACCTTCCTTTTCTACAAAACTGCTCTGTTTTTCTTCTTCTCCTTTCTTCTTCTCTCTTTTCACCATAACCTCTTTTGTCATTCCATTTCTTCCTTTTTTTCTTATTCTTATTGGATCAAGAGCATGTACCACTTCCACTACTCTTCCAAAGAGCTTGCTGTCTTTATGTCTACTGGATCTTGAGCAACAGAACAATAACAAAGGAGACGAGTGCCATTGAATGACCTCTCTCTCTGTGATCTGTCCTTTTTTGCCTTTGAGATGCTGTAGTGGTGTTCAGCAAGCATATTGTTACTGTCATATGAAAACCTCATAACTTCAAATCAGTTCAAATGAAAATCCCAGATGCACTTGACATTATGTGAACATTATTGACTAATGGACCAACAGCAATGGCCCAAAATTATTTAGAATAAAACGATGTCACCTTATCCCTTAGAAGCTGCAGTAAACAAAAGCATGTTGGAATCTTATTATTTTTTTTACTTATATATTTATTCCCTGATTTTGCACTTGTTTGATATCAAAACAAACAGAAAAGCTATAAGTGCAGACTCAAAGCTGTCGAGACAGAATCTCAATCAAATGTAAATGTAATTTACTGTGTGACTTACTGTCTAACTAAATATGTAACCTTTATGTAATTTATGTATTACATAATCTATGTATTGCTAGGGGTGGGTCATATGGCAAAAATATTACATCACAATACTTTTTCATTTTTTTTTTTCATGATACATAACATGCATCACAACAGTTTTTCTGAGATTTGATAAGTTTGAGTGGAACAGTCAAAATAAAGCCTATAGTGCCACATTAAAAAAAATATTTTAATAATTACAATTAATTTTATAAAATGCTCTACAAACTCCACAGAACTAAATCCAACTAAACAGGCCTAATTATGCTCACTTTGTAGTGAAACATGTAGTTAGTCAGCGTTCTTCGAATACTAACGATATTGATGAAACGCTGAGAAAAGTGTGATACAATTCATCATGATAACAAGAAAATATCCTCCTATTGCCCACCCCTACATATTGTATATGTAATTACATAAAAAGTAATAACTTCTGAGGTTTAACCTACATTACAGTTTCTTCTCATTTCAGGGATAAAAGCTTTTCTTATGATATACTATCAGAAACTGGCCCACATGTTTAAAAAGGCACTGTCACCTAACCAGCACTATCTGAGCTTAACATAACACAGGGCAGTCAGTGAGGGGAGACAGTGCAGTGTGAGAAGACACATGGTTATCAGATTGATGAAATGGACTGCTTTCCAAACGGCTCTATACCTCGTATCATTTTCCCATTCAGTACTGTGTGCTTTTGTGAGCGCTTACGTTACTGTTCTGACCCTGCCCAGAATTTCACACCAGCAGTCTATTTCCAATAGCACGCCCTGCTCAAGGCCTTTGCAGAAGATAGATGTGCATTCCTGTCTACTGATGCAGTTCGCACTTCAAACACTCCAGATGTGCGAAGGAGAGGGTGAAAGATACCATGAGCTGTTCAGACTTCAGTGCTGGGGAGGGCCACGCATAGCTGTTCATCTGACCTCTCATAATTGTCATAATCTTTTTAGAGCTGGTAAAAACTCTGGTGTGGTGGTCACAGATCAAAAGACTAGTTACACTACTTCTACCAGAAGCAAATATACGAGGAAGCTTTTGCTCCGAACCGATAATCTAAATCAGCTAATAACATTCTTTCCTGCAGTTCCTAACTCTTTGAAAAAGAGCCTCTTCTGATCAGATTTCACACATCATAGATTTCAATAACAAAAGAAGGTGAGGAAACAAAGGAGAGGAGAGCTTACCTCTTTCATCTTGGCTGCGCTGAAGGACGGCGTGAGGATGCTGCGCACTCGTTTCCACTGTTCGTTCCTCAGCATGAGTAGACTGTCGATCATGGGCTTAGTAGCTGCCCTGAGTTTCTGAAGAAAGAGAAAAGGGGTAAGTCTTTTAAAATTAAACCCGCTCTGAGGACAGACTGGAAATGTTACTTGCAAAACATCCCTTAATCAGCAATGGCTTAACTAATAACAATGTTCACAGCCTACAGCTTATATACTCATGCACATGCTGTAGGGTCTGACCAGTATAATGGTAGGCATGAAATCAGCTGATATTAAGATTATACAGATTTAGCGGATCAGCAAAAAGTTGCTGACATTTAAGTGGCTTTTTTTCTTATAATGAGCACACAGTTCTAGTGCAACACTAGTTTTATATGATGGAATTTGTAAGAAATATATTTTCAATGTAACCTGACAGCTACACAAAGCAATTCAAAAAGTCACATTTGATTATTCCACTAGTTAGCACAATTGGTAGCTAATTTTTCATAACGCTGATGTCAGAGCAAAATTTGTATCTCCGTTTTTGTCTTTTTTTTAGTATTATTATTTTTAATGCCAGTTGCCCTTTACAATGTGTTTGTAATTTCATAAGGAATGGAGTAATATAAATGATCACAAATTAAAAAAATAAAATCTTTAATAAAGTTTCAATAACGTCCTGTCAAATTTAACAATGTATTTCCCCTCTCCTGTAAAATTACCATTTTGAAGATACAAGGTTTTGTTGCGACAGTGACAGTGTGTCATATTCTGGCCATATAAATTATTCTCAGATGCCTACATTTGCACCTAGCTTTATAAAATTGATGGTAAAAGAAGGAAAAACTTAATAACCTGTTTTTAGTGGTATAATAATATAAAAATCAAAACGCCTGAAGTGACTTCAGAAAAAAAGCTCCTACTCTTCTCCCTCCAACTTTACTTTGACAGGATAGTAACACTTTAAAAGTTAAAGCAGCCGCAGAACACTGTTGATTGTTACTGATAACTTAACTGAGTTCATTTTGTAATTCCAGGTAGTTGCTATGGTGTTGCTACATGGTTGCTATGGTATTCCATCTTGTTCTCGGGCATTGCTTGGTAGTTGTTCGGTGGTTGCTATGGTATCCCAGGTGGTCGTTAAGTTGTTGCTAGGTCGGTGCTGTGCTATCCCAGGAGTTTGATAAGGTGTGGCTAAGTCAGTGCTATGGTATCCCAGGTGGTTGTTAAGGTGTTGCTAGGCCATTTCTATGGTATCCCAGGTAGGTGTTAAGATGTTGCTAGGATGTTTCTATGCTATCCCAAGCAGTTGCTCAGGTGTTGCTAGGCTGTTGCTGTCCTATTCCAAGTTGTTGCTGTGGTGTTGCTAAGCCATTTTTATTGTATCCCAGCTGGTTGCTGAGGTGCTGATAGCAGTGTATGATGGTACCATATAAGGAGTGTTGAAAATATTTAGTTAGCTTTTTCAATCCAATAAGTCTATGGGGAAGAATACACAGTGAGGCATAGACTTCTTTACTTAATCTATGACCTTGAGGTTTTAGAACGCCCAGTTTCAGTGCATACAAGCTCTTACGTAGTCTGAGGAACAATACTAGCAAGAAAGTTTTAATAACAAATGAATTTAAGGAGGTCTGGAAGCTGTTATAGGAACAGTGCAAAATTATAGTGGTCAGTTCATTGCAACAGAATTAGGATTAAACAGTGCAATCAGTGATCCTCATGTCTTAATATTTTTGCCCTTCCACTGTGCTCTACATTTGCACCACGGAAAGGTATGTCCTCCTGCCTTTGAAAGGCATGCTGTGATTAAGATGAAGTGACCCAAAGGCTAGCCCAAATGAGCCAAGCAAAACCATGGTTATCCTGACCTCTATAATCCATTACAGAATCTCTCTGACACTAAAGGGATTGCTCCACAGGGGTTCTGTCTGAAGCTTGTTCTTTTAAGAGTGAACTTTACTTTCCCTCCACTAATAGCTCAGCCTGGCTTAATATGGTTAATTAAAGCAATTGTCCATCTGTTAGTCTGTGCCGTGCTGGCCAGGTCTACTGTGTGAGAACGAGACAGGAAGTCTAGTAAAGACAACCAAGCCCAGGCAGCAGAGCAGAGTGGTGCTTCAGCTGCTGATCAGATTAGAAATCTGTGCATGTGCGTGTGTGTGCGTTTGTGTGCATATCTGAAGATGGAAATGTACAGTATTTATTTTTGTGCACAGAAGCCAACACATTGTGTTTGTTTCTGGGCTGCCATGGTGATCCACTTTATGAGTTTTCTCCCGCTGTCTGTCACAGATGGTGCGCGTATTGTGAGCTGCACAGTAAAACTTACACACACATACACACAGCCATTTTCACTGCGCTGACCCAAGTCACACAGCAGAGCACTGAGTGGGTCACTGGCTGAGATATGGTATTTATAAACTACTGGGTTTTTTAAACATGGAAAAGGCATGCTCGAGGTGCAGTGCTGCACCAGGTCTCAGTATTGATTTGGTCCTGCTGTCATCATTCCCCTTTGGCATTATCCAGCAGACTCTGCTCACAGACCAAGGCTAGCTCCAGACCTGCCCCTGTGCTTTGATAAATAAGTCATGTGATCATTAGCAGTGACCTCACTGGCCTGGCGGAGCTCTGCGGTGCTCCAACTCTAGCCACACTGAAGCCTCTCGCTATGCACACAACTACTGGTTCTTCCTCCATGCACTAAAGGTGGAGAACAGGATTTATTATATATATTGTTTTTTTCATGCCCATGTACAGACGTTGTAAGGAGACAGTGTAATTGTGTTTTTCAGCAAAGCAAACTTATTGTTACAAACTATTTACTAACCAAACAGGGATTAGTGCCCCAATGTCCAACATACAAGGCTGCAACATTACCCTCTGCTATTTAAGTGCTATAAGCCATGGGGTTATATCTCTCTATAGCAGCCCCATACTGCTGTTTGTATGGTTGTTGTATAAAATAATCATATTATGAAATGTGATGCTTTCTTAAACAAACATTACTGGTATCTTATTAGTGCGACCCAGTGCAGTGTTGATGCATGTTTCCATGACAGGTTGGAGTTACTGAGAAGACATCTCCATAGGTGGTCAGTACTGCACTAGAGGGGGCGATTAACAAGCTCTATTTCCTTAGCGAGGCTGAGCTGAGCCTCAGTGAAACCACTCTTAAAGAATGGCCATGTAAAACCCGATTAACATACATGCTGACCAATAGGGCATTTGTACAGTCCGAGGGCAAAGGGGGGAGGGGTCTCTGAAAGTCTCTGAGATGCAATAATTGAATATCACTGAACGTGGGTGTGCATGTATGTGTGTATGTGCTTGTGTGTGTGTGTGTGTGTGTGTGTGTTTTGCACATTTTCAAGACAAAAATTGTCCCGATTTGATCAGAAAACAAGAAGAAAAAAGACAATGATACCAACAATGTTACTATAAAATAAGAATATTTTTCAGAAAGTTATAGCAAATCTTATTTTTTTCCACAAACGTTAAACTTAAATAACTAATAAATAAAGTCTGTTCCCTTTAAAGAATGTGTTAATTTATTTTCACTTTTTCAGAAAATCAACAAAACATGTAATATGACTGGAGATGTTCAAACATTTGTACAAACAATTCTGTTGTAGATGCATGTTCTATATTTTACATATTTCAAAGCAATTTTTTAGGAAGTTGTAAAAAGAAATGATGATGAAAGACAATTCGATTGTAACTAATAAAGCTGGACAACATTGAGAATGAACTTCACAAGTGATTCCACATTTTTGAATGGAAGTGCATACAATTCAATAAATTTGGATGTCTGACATTGCATATGCGTATGTGTGTGTGTGTGCGTGAATATGTAAATAGTACTCACCATTCTGTTGGGGAACTTATGGAACTCCTTCACCATAATCTGCCTGAGCATGTCTGGGTCAGCTACCACCACCACTGGCCGTCTGCCTAGATAATAACTGGAAATAATCAACACACACACACACACACACGCGTGCGCACACACACAAACAGAGGAATACATGAATAAGAAACAGGGCTCCATTAGATTTTATGGCAATAACAACAGACAAGTGAACAACATGCATCATGTAAACATAGCGGACCTGCTGTACTGAGTTTTTTGCGCCAGTTTCGGGTGCAAATCAGACACATTCTGCCAGTGTGTCATGTACGAAACTGTCGCACAATTCTAAATGCATAGTTTCTGGGCCATGTGCATGACAAAATGTAAAATGCGCATATACATTTGAGGGAGGGCTGTCCAAAGCGTGGGTGGAGATACTACATGTGTGGCTGATTACACATTCCGCTCCATTTACTGAAGTTTGAGCAACTTGCAGCGTCTGATTTTACATGGATTTTTCTCCACAAACTTTTCTTGCATTAGGGTCTCAAAAGACGTGTTGTTGAGACACTTCCTGTAACACTATCATTTCACCATGTTATCATTTCGCAAACAATTTTCTTAGTTGGAGTAAAATTATATGGTCTGCAGAACGTTTTAGAGGGAAAGAACTTTATTTATTACCACCACTATTGCTTTGCTAGCTTTCATTTTCTGTTTTTGTCCTGAGCTTGTTGACAGCTTCATTATTTCACTCTGCTTTTTAAACCCTGTGCCTCACAAGTGAGCAGTTTGTGGGTGGGGCTATGCACTGTTTGTCAAATAAACCTTAATTTCAGATGCATCGTGGACAAATATTGTGGTTCCATAAAGGCGCACTTTGCACTGCACCTGCACTCATATGTACATCTGGCCCAGAGTTTTTTCTCTCTCTATCCCTCATACACCCAGTCTAACGCTGTAAGCCCCTGAGAGACCCAGCCTCTTCACCATCTCTTTGACATCTCATCCAGGCCACTGGATAAATGCTTGCCTTACTCATGCTTCATGTTAGTGCCAAAGTGAGCTCCCCAAAATGTGGCTTTGCTGAGGTTATGTCTAGGTTCTGGCTTTCTGTTCATGATTACGTGTTGAGCTGTGGCTCATTCATATAAATAATGTTGTAAAAATGATCTTGTGTGTGTGTGTGTGTGTGTGTGTGTATGCTTGAATGGATGTGTGTGTTCTGGGACATTCTCCTCTCCCTATATGGAAACTTGTGCTTATTAACTGGCCTTTTTTAATGAGAATGAGTTTCGCAGGAAAAAGTAGATAATTGGACATCTTTATTAAGCAGCGATAATTGGATACAAAACCTTACAGGCAAAAACTAAAACAACGAAATACACCAGACCATATAATCTTCAGAAGCTTCTTGTTATGCAGAGGCCATAGTTTATATCGCTAGTGAATAGGCTTTCATTCTATTCAAATTTACACTCCACAGACCTTATTAGACCAGAAGGACATAAACACTGAAGTCGTTAGCAGTTTGTCTATGAGTGCACCTGTTCTAATGGTCTGCTAGTAGTCTTAAAGTGTGCTCTGTAGAGAGTCTGAATCCCTTGGGTACAGAAATGCCCAATGGCCAAGATGCCATGGCAGTGATCCCAGAAGCCCTGCAATCTGTGGCAATGCTTTTCTTCACACTGGGAAGAAAGCTTCTTTACGAATGCTTGCAGCTTCTGGTCAGCAGCCAGACTGTTCAAGATGTTTCCAAAAAACAGTAGCTGAAAAATGTAGTCAGGGCAAACACATTCTACCTCCAAACCAAAATCTCCATTTTTGCTGGTCAGCATAGTCTGAGTTGTTATAGAAGCGCTGAAAAACTATAGGCCTATATAAGCTTAAGTGTTACTAAAAGTGATGAAACTATGAGGCTATGTAAGCTTAAGAGGTTCTAGAAGAGCCTAAACTATAGGACTGTATAAGCCCATGTGGTCTCACAATTGCTGAAACTATAAGGCTATTTAAGATTAAGTGGTTAAAGAAGTGCTGACACTATAGGACTATATGAACTGAGTATTTTTAGAAGCGCTGAAACTATAGGATTATATAAGCCTGAGTGGTTTGAGAAGTGCTTAAACTATAAGGCTATAGCCGAGTAATTCAAGAACTGCTGAAACTATAGAACTATATAAGCCAACTGGTTCTAAAAGTGCTGAAACTATAGGACAATATAAGCCCAAGTGGTTGTAGAAGTGCTGAAATTATAAGGCTATATAAGCTTAAGTGGTTCTAGAAGTGCTGAAACTATATAACTATACAAGCCGACTGGTTGTAGATGTGCTGACACTACAGGACTATATAAGCTGAGTGGTTCTAGAAGTTCTGACATTATAGGACTTTATAAGCCCAAGTGGTTCTAGATGCATTGAAACTATAAGGCTATATAAGCTTAAGTGGTTCTAGAAGTGCTTAAACTATAGAACTATACAAGCCAAGTGGTTCTAGAAGTGCTGCATCTTTAGAACTATATAAGCCTGAGCAGTTCTAGAAGTACTGAAACTATAAGGCTATATAAGGTTAAGTGGCTCTTGAAGTGTTGAAACTATAAGACTATATAAGCCGAGTGGTTCTAGAAGTACTGAAACTTTAAGGCTATCCTAAACTTTTATCCAAATCCTCGCAGATCTAGAGATCCTGAAACTTTAAGACCATATAATCCGAGTTCTTCTAGAAGTCCGAAAACTATAGGGCTATATAAATCTAAGCAGATCTAGACATCCTGAAACTATAAGACCACTAATGCATTAATGTGAAGCACTAATGCATTAATGTGAGGAACTTTTAATGGTTCACATAATATAATAGTTCTTTACCAATTTCGGGGCTCTTCTAAGAATGTTTGTATTATGTGGAGGTTCTTTAAAGTCTAAAAAGGCACTTCACACTCATAAATCCCAAATTCCCTCTAGAATGTTTCCAAAAAATAGCATTTAAAAAATGTAGTTAGGGAAAACAAATTCTACCTTTTATCCAAAAGTGACAGAAGAGCCTCCATGTTCTCTGGTCAGCATAGGCCGAGTGATTCTCGAAGTGCTGAAATTTCTATGACACCTCCCTCTATTAACCTCAGCCTTTGATGGCTGATAATCATGTACTGGAAGCTGACAAGTGCATAACTCAGAGTGCAGTACAGTGATATATATTTCAAAGGCTTTGATTTTTTGGGAGCAGTCTCAGGCTGTTGGATTACTCTAATTGAAAGCTGTAGTAATGTCTTTTGACATATATCCACACGTTTCCGACTTGCCCCCCCCGCCTTTTCCGGTCCGAGCACTAAATCCAGCTCCCCTCCCTCTCGGCCCTTCCCTCTCAGATCCTCCGCTTGGCTCGTATTGAACACAGCGAGCCTGGTGCCTCCCTTTCTCCTTTGATCTCTGTGCAGCGGGCGGCGGTATCAAACATGAGCTAATCTCGCTGCCCATCGCACAGGGCAGAGCTAAATCAAAACACACTAGAAGCTCTGTGAGCAGCTATCACTGCCTGATTATGAAAAAGTCCTGGAGAGTACACTGTTACCCTGTTAGTGTGCATAAAGAAGAGAACACCGAGTGCAGACAGGCACGTGTATCTGGCAGGAAAGTTTCAGCATAAAAACTAGAATGATAGTTAGAAGCCAACTTATCAAACCTGAGTAAAAAAACATGAGAAAAACAGTAGGAAGGAGACTTTTAAAAATTGATGAAGGTCTTTGGATTGAAAAAGAAGCGATGAAAGGGATGGAACAGAAGTGAGGCCATCCGTATGGAAAACAGAGCCTTATTCTGGGCCAACAGCCTCGAGCCCCATATAAAAGTTTGGTGCCGTGGCTTTAAAATTGTAAGAACAAGAGCAGTTTGGAGAAAATGGGCCACATGCCTGTAGCTAGGTTTGGTTGTTCAAGCTTTAGGGGGAGCTAGAGAAATCACTAGAATTAAGCTGTTTAAAAAGACTAAAAAAGACAGAAACGACTGAATAAAACATTTAGGATTGATATGCACCCTTTGAACTAGCTGGGTATTATTTAGAAGACCCAAAAATCTCTAAAAACTCAAAATTGGAGCAGACAAATCTCTCTCTCTGATTTGTTTTTTATCTCTAAGAATTCTTGCTGAATTCCAATTGTAGCCACATTCTCACAAGTGCACTTCTGAAATGATGAGAATAATTCATTTTTTTGAAAAATGTTCAACAACTGGCCTGAAAGACACATATAAAAGGCCACCCATATGTGTTATAACTGATATAATTACTCATTTCATGGAAAACACTGAAGTGTCAGTGGTCTGCAGTAAGTACCTTCCATTCTGGGCTGACTTACCCACATACTCTTCCATACTGGTTAATCAGGTCTTTGTGGGCATCGAAGAAACCCTGCAAGCAAGTGGAAAAACACAATTACAATGTGCACATGCCACAGAGGATATATATAACATAATCACCAAGAGAAATGTACTTTGAGTGATGAAACCTGGGTGTGTGAAAGCTTGAGAATGTGTATTAGTTTGTGTTTGTGCTGTCTGTGTTAGTAACACTGAAGCTGCTGCCCAGCTTTGCTGTTTCTTCAACGAGAGCGTGACAGCTGACTGACAGCTTAATAACTCTTAGAGCACAGTCCTTGAAAAACAAAGCTAAGTTCACTGTGCATGGTGTGTGTATGTGTGTCTGTGTATATATGTGTGTGTGTGTGTGAGAGAGAGAGAGAGAGAGAGAGAGAGAGAGAGAGAGAGAGAGAGAGAGAGAGAGTCATTGTTTTCATATTTTTATTAATCATACAAAACAGGGTAACCTACACTGTCAGGTACAAACAGAATGCTTTTTTGCACATTACAAAATCTACGTTCTGTAATACTGAAAGGGTAAACAATTTAACTTTTTATTACTGAGGTTAATAATAGGCTGGAATTAAGTTTAGAAAATTAATTTTACACAATGCAATTGCACTGCTTAAATCTTATTCAAAATTATTGCAAATCAAACAAAGAAGCTGCTGGTAAAGCCCAAATCTCAACACCATTCATTATTCTTGGACTGTGAGAAGCAGAAAATAAAAAACAATTTCTAAGACTGAACTGGAAAAATGTCTATCTATATATATTGCTGCTGTCGGGACAAAACCTGTATGTCCATTTTTTGTGAATTTCAGTTCTTTGACATAATTTGAAAATGTCTTTTGGCCTTTACATTGTGTGTGAATTTCATGATGACTGGGTGAAAAGAATTGGCCAAAAATGACTTGTAAAAAAAGTCTGGTCCCATTGACTTACATTAAAAGTAAAGTCTTTTTCCTTTTCCTGTAAAGTTATCATTTTGGAGATACAAGGTTTTGTTTGTATATTCTGTCTAATTTTCTGTTAAATATGTTTTGTGCATTTTTCCTGTACACACACACACACACACACACACACACACACACACACACACAGGGCATATGTATGATGAAGTCTGTGTATGTATGAGTAGCGTATATAAGGAGTGTATATAAGTAGTTAAATAGCATTACAGCACTTTCATTCCAAAGTCACGCATTTTCTGCTTCCTTTATCTGTAGTAAAAGAAAAACCAATGTCTTCACCTCAAGGCCTTGCCTTGTACTACAATAACAGTACGTATTGTACAAGATCCTGTCACACCTTTCCTGCTCTGATCTGCGCAGTCTGCAGTGGTTAGTGATGAAAATGATTACCACTGTAATTACACTGATTGCATGTTGCAAATAATGCAATAGAAATAAAAGAAACAGAAAAGGAAGAGAGAAGAGAACAAGACACAGCATGTATGAGAGAAAGAGAGAGAGAACAAGAGGGAAGGGAGGATAGGAGCCAGAGAGGGAGCTGATGAACATTAATTTCTTTTGTTCTCAGTGGGTGGGCACTTTTGCAAAGATTAGCATATTCACAAATATTCATGTGCAGCGTCAGTAATTACTCTCGTGTTGTCTTGCTGTTTAATCTGCTTTTATCAATCACCTGCAGTCACATGACATTGCTCACCTCTCTACACCAAGGTCAATGTACGCTCTTTAATATTTCAGATTTCATCATAATCCAGGGTTCAGGGCAAGCAGCTCGGCACACTGTGATACAAGCTGCACTATATGGAAATTGAAAAATGAAATAAAGTCATCCAAAAAGCATCCAACAACATAAAAAAACTTTTGAGAAAACCAGGAAATCTGTTAGTTGACCTTTATGAGCCACCTTAATTTCATTTTATCCTCTTTCTCAAGGGTAAAACAATAATGGCTGACACTGCAAGTGATGAAGCACACTGAAACATCTGTAAGGCCATATTGGGAGCACCGCCACTGTAAAGTGGGTTTAAAAGAGGGATGTGACAGGTGTTCGCTGAGGCAGTTTGATGCAGAGGATTGCAGAAAAGCAGATGAGAGAATGGGGAGAGCGGTCAGGTTTTGAAAGCTGTGGTCAGCCACTAGGGGTCAGTGCAGAGTAGATACTGGACTCAAAACTGCAAGACGACTCCTGAGGATTTCTGAGGATTTGTTTTGGGGGATTCTGCGCTGAGAGTGCAGTGACAAATCTAAGCATTTATTTCTCGGAAATGATGGAAGACGTTCATCCATAGCTTTGAAGAATATAGACAATGTTTGATTTATCAATTTTGAGGCAAGTAACTTAAAATTGGCAAAAGTAAATAAACACTCATCTCACACAAATGCGCTCGCACACGCACACACAGCTGATTTTGTATGCATGGCGGTCTTTGACTCTCCCATCTCAGAGCTAATGAAGGAGCGGACAGTGCTGGCACCATGCCCTCTGCCCTCCCCCTTTCTACCCAGAGATGCTGGCCAATGCCATTCCTACAGTCTCCCTGGTGGGCATTAGGCAGTGATGTGTGTGTGTGTCCATTCCTCAGTGAGTATTAAGCAGTGGGGTGTGCCCTTTTGTCCTGATCTCCTCTCCCCAAGCCTTTTATTACTGTTCTGTCATTTGGAAGAAGAGCAGATCTGTGCATTTGTGCGTGTATCTCCCTGAGTGTAGGCTGCACATGTGACAGAAGGAGTCCATGTATTTAAGTTACTATTATAGTTACCTATTACTGTATTTGAATACATTTTGAGTATTCAAAAATGATCCTGAATGTTACTTTTTGAGTAAAAAAATGTGTACTCTAAGCAAAAAGGGTTGGAACCCTTTTCAGGGAATTCTACAGATTTTTCAAAATGTCTGTTCTGGAGAAATTTACAGTCAGAATTGCCCACAGTGGTGCTGATAGGAACCAGACATCTGATGAATAATTTCTCATAAAACTGTCCTCACAGAAACTGAGACATTGTTTTATGATAGCTTTTATGACAGTTTTGCGGTAAGGTTTTAGCCTAAAACATACTTTTAAAAAGAGGTACATGTAGGCCACATGTATTTTTTCAGATTTACCACTCAAAAGACACATGTAAGTTTACTGGTGGTTCCAACACTGTAAAGAAGTTTAAGTCTTCTATACAACGAACCATTTCACATCAAACCACTCTGAATGACATTGTTCACATCTCAGTGGCTGAATTCTGTAGAAAAAAATTCATATATATATATATATATATATATATATATATATATATATATATAATATATATACACAAAATTCATATATATATATTCATATATATACATAGATAGATAGATAGATAGATAGATAAAATACACCTTGTAGATGCCTTTATGACATTGTTACAATGTGGTGTATTAAAAAATAAAATTAAATGAATAAATAAATAACTGGTTAACTAGTGGATTAATCAAATGTGTTGTGTGCAACTTGGGTTGTTTCTGAATTCCACAGAAATTATGCTGCAGGTGACTCACAACATTCAACTAGTTGTGTGAAAGTTTCACTGTGTAAGCCTGCCTTATAATTTTGAAACACACTATTCACTTCACAGTCCATCTAGCACATATATGGGAAATGCAAGGCAAAAACAGCCCATTTGGAATTTTTTGTTTTGTGATGTCGTAAAAACACGTCTACCTATATCTGCCTAAACTACAGAAGTTTAGCCCCGCCCATTCATACTAAAAACACAAAGAGTGTTTCAGCCTGGAAGGCATTTTGAACAAAATACAGGGCAGCCAATCAGTACAGAGGATGTTTATACACAGTCATACGCAAAGTTTGAATACAACCAGTCAAATGACTTGTTGATTTTCTAAGTGAAAATAAGGTTAACACATCCTCTACAGTAAAAAATCTTAATTATGACATTTTCTGCTCATTTTAGTCATTTTATTATTTATTTAACAAACAGAAAAAAGCATAAAATATAAAATGTGCCCCCCCCCCCATGTTATTTAGTAGATTTAGCAAATGAACAGTAACTGTGCATTAAAACGTTCCAAAAAATGCTCCCTGTAGTGAATGCATACTTATTTTCACTTGGAAAAAGAACAAAACATTGTCAAATTTCTTTATATTAGTCCTGTTTAATTCTAAGGGATAAAGAGATCTTGTAAAATGGTCATGTACAAATGAATTATGACTGTTTTGGATACATAAACCCACAAAATTGTTATAAATGGAGTAACAGACATTAAAAATGTTGTATATGGGTCTGTAAGTAGAATAAATTGTCTGTAATATTCTTGAGCTAGTCATGAACATAATCCAGTGCAGCATAGCTAAACCCAAATGAATGGGTCGTTCCCCGCAGTCTGCCACAGGCCTAATTGAGGATTCATCACAGATGGGGAAGATCAATAAAGCGGGCCTGACTGAAGCAGACAGGCTGCATTCTAAAGTTGGTCCTATTGGAATTCTCTTAAAAAGAAGATTAGCTACTTTCAGTTATTTTGCTAGTGCACGGTTTGTCCTTGATGTTCAAAAAGGTTTTCTTATATTGTTCATCTTTCTAATGGCTTCTTATGTGTCTGAGTGGCACAGTGTGAACACTGTGACAGCTACTGTGCATGGACCTTTATTAAACATGCAAGACAGGACAACAAGAGAGAGCAACAGAGCTGGAGCGGGAGAGAGAGCAAGGTGTGTGTGTGTGTGTGTGTGTGTGTGTGTGTGTGTGTGTATACACCATACATGAGAATGTGTCAGTTTGTGAGACTGCAGGGAGGATGTTTGGGGCTCTAAATTGACCTAATATCACCTCCACGAGTGTTATATTTTGTAATGGAGTGTATTTTGCTAATGTGCTGTTGTGGATTGGGAGTGAGAGTGAGAAAGAGACAGAGAGACAGAGTAAGAGAGATAGAGATTGAGATAGATACAGAGAGACAAAGCAATGGTAATGACCAACATTCTCAACATGTCTCACTCTATCCTCCTGTCTTTCTTTCTTGGTTGTTTCATTCTCTCTGTCACCCTGTCTGTGTTTATTTCTCTTATATCTCCCTCTCCTCCCATCA